TCGTCGTCGTCGTAGTAGTAGTAATTGTTGTTGTTGATGCCACTACTCTGTCGGTCTTCCTGCTATTGCAAATTTCGTCGTGAGTCTGGCTGTACAGGGATCAGTGACAAGCATACCTGCCAACCTTGTATTTTCTATCACAAGTCAGAAAATGCACTTGGGCGCAGCCCGGTCTCGGTTGACCGAGGTTGTCGTGACAGAGGAGGGCAATCTCAGGACCAGTCTGCCAATGCGTTAGGATGTCACGGTCCCTCACCTTGACACACCCTCGATGAGAATTTGTCGTGGGTGCAACTACGGCTGTCTAAGGCGCCCTACTACGAGCATGTTCGGGGAATTCGTTCGGCAATACCAAAAGCACAAGTGCTAAAGAAAAGGATTATTCTGAAAGGACCCGCAAAGAAAAAGGTACTAGTTTTTAGTAAACCAAGCCTGCAGCGAAAGGACTTGGTGGGGCACCTACTGGGGTCGAAATCGCGGCAGAGGCTATCAACCCCCGCTGCAGGCGCCGCCTCTTTAGAAATGAGAAGAAAGTGTGTTAGAGCTCAGGGCGTGGATCTGTAGTTGAGGGTGTAGCTTTTCGTACAGACTTATGGAATTTAACCCTAAACCCTAGACCCTAGGATTTAGATTCCAGTGTTTGTTGAGCTTGTCGGGGTTGAGGGCCGTCAGCTCTCTAAGTCTGCCCATCTGCGCGGATCAAAACTAGGGTCGACCCTCAAACCTAAAGTCCAAACAATATAGGGGCTTAAATAATTACCTAAATCATTTTGGGTGTTTCTTATTATAATTATTGTGTAATGTACCCAAAAACCCTGTTTTAATTGCCAAGGCCACCACGCGAGTTCTCTTGACAAGCAGTTTCGGGACCCTGACCCGGCCACGCAGCCGGAGCCCGTAAACTTCGCAACTGCCTCGCCTGTTGTAGGACAGGCAAGACAAAGGTTCCGTGTGCTAGGAGCGGATCCTTGAAGCAATCAGGACTCAGGCAATACATCCCAGAGTTTGGGACAATGATACGGTTGATGCTTACGGTCATTTTGACTCATGCACATGCGTTTCATGTGTTGAAACACAAACCCCGTCACCCTCGATTGCAAACATTACATACAGAGTCTGAGAAGTGCCCTCGCAGGATGTGCGGCAGGTCGCTAGCACCAGCCGTGCTGTAGCCGTCGTTCATGCAGACGGCCGCAACTGGGACGGTTCCTAAGCCCTGCCTACCGAAACCCCTGTGTTCGGGTGGCGAGACCCAGTCGCTTGTAGGTAATGTAGGGTTCAGAATACTTAGTTAAGGTGACATGCATACATGTGTATGTTTATATATACGTATATACACATACATATGTGTGTATATATATATATATACTGTGTGTGTTTATGTATCTGTATATATAGAAATATGTATGTGTATGTACATGTGTATATATATATATGTGTATATGTATATGTGTATGTATGTATGTATGTATGTATGTATGTATGTATGTATGTATGTATGTATGTATGTATGTATGTATGTATATATGTATATGTGTGCGTGTGTATGTATATGTGTGTATGTGTGTATGTGT